CCCCTCGGGGAATACTTGGGGGAGGATGGCGGGGACGATCAGGAGGATGAGGGGGAGGAGGAGGAGGAGGAGGAGGAGGAGGAGGAGGAGGAGGAAGAGGAGGAGGAGGAGGAGGAGGAGGAGGAGGAGGAGGAGGAGGAGGAGGAGGAGGAGGAGGAGAAAGATGAGGAGGAGGAGGAGGAGGATCTTGGGAGCCTCTGGAGGCACTCTTGGGGCCTCCTGGGAGCTTCCTGGGAGTCTCTTGGAGGCATCTTGGGGGCTTCCTTGGGCCTCTTGGTGGGCTTTGGGTTCTTCTCGGGGGTCTCTTTGGCAGTCTTAGGACATTCCTGGTCCGTTTGACGCCGTCGGAAGCCGTCTTGGGGGCCTCTCTGGGCCGACTTAGGGCCCTCTTGGGGTTGTCCAGGGCCGTCTTGCAGGCCATCTTGGGCATCTTGGAGGCCTCTGGGGCCGTCTTGGGGCCGTTTTGGATGCCTCTTGGGCCGTTCTGGGGCCATCTTGGAGGCCTCTTGGGCGATCTTGGGGCGATCTTGGGAGGCTCTTGGGCCGTCTCTGGCTGTCGGAAGGCCGAAAAGAAGCAACTGCCACAATCTTCCAAACTACTAAGGGAAATCAATGCTTGTGGCATCTTGGGGTCCTCTTGGGAGACCTCTTGGGGCATCTTGGAGGACTCTTGGGCCGTCTAGGGGCCATCTTGAGCGTTTTGAAGCGATCGTTCGGCGACGCGGGGCCCTCTTGTGCCGTACTCGGGGCCTCTTGGGGCTTTCTTGGTCCGTCCTGGGGCCTTCTTGGGTCCGAGAAATTTATGCGGGAAGCCGCGGGGGAGCCCAGAGGGTACGCGGGAAGCCCCAGTAGATTTCAAAGTTTGAGGCCCACGTCACGTAACTATTCTTCAGGAGTGTTTTCGGGATGAGGCAGAGGACCTGAGGACACGCCCACTCCGTGCTCAGTGGCACGGAGGCGGATAATTTTCAATGGGTGCAAATGCCATACGGCCAGTTCCGCCGACCCTGATAACATCAGAGTTTAGGCGCAAAAGGGGATTGTGGGGTGAAGGCTTGAAGATGATCATCTAGCGAATGGTCTTTAGCCCATCCCGCCACTGCGATTGGGTTGTGCTTCAGAGGCCTCGGGGACGATTTGGGGCCACTTAGGGGGGATCCTGGGGGTCGTTGTGGCCCACTTGGGTGCGTCTTGGGGGCCTTTTGGGGTCCTCTCGGGACCATCTTCGGGCCTCTTTGGGGTCTTAGGATTATGTCGGAAGGGCTATCTTCAGCAGCGCAGCCGTATCGCGTTTCTTGGGCCCGCCTCCATGGTTATCCTGGGTTCGTCTAAGGAGTCGTCTTGGGGTCGTGTAGGAGACCTCCTGGGGGGCCTCTTGAGCCGTCTTGTCTGGTCTTGGGGGTCTCCTGGGCCGCCTTGGATGCTCTTGCGACCGGTGTGCCGATAATGCTAGCACCTACTCCAAAGCCAAAGGGGCTCAGCTGAGTTGGGCCTCCTGGGTTTGCCCCTGCGGCCTCCAAGACGGTCCGCGAGGCTCCAAAGAGTGCCGACCTTGGCCGAGGTCGGCCCCGACATGGCTCCGGCGGGCCTCGAGTGCCCACGGGGCCCGAAGATATGCCCAGCCTGGCCCGAAGGTCGCCCAGGTCGCTCCAGGCAGGGTTGGGGGCGGGCCTCCCTCCAACACGGGGGGGAAGGGCTCGCACGGAAGGGGCCTCCCTTCGACGCGATTGCGACCTTGGTCGATCCACCCACTTTTTTCTGTAAGAGCGGTTTTTTAAAGGCAGATCTGCCTTCAAAAAATGGTCTACTCTGTAAGTACGGTTTTTTGAAGGCAGGTCTGCCTTCAAAAAACCGTTCTTACAAGGCAGATCTGCCTTCAAAAAAACATTCTTACAGAGTAGACCAGTCTTTCCTCCTTGAAGGCAGATCTGCCTTCAAAAAACCGTTCTTACAGAGTAGACCAGTCTTTCCTCCTTGCAGGTAGGTAGGGTCCGCGAGCTTGGAGGGCCTGGCCGCAGGGAAAGCGGGGGAGAGCACAACATGTTCGGCCGCCCCAAAGCTGAAGGCCTCCAGGGCTGCACGCGCGAGCCCCCGGACCGCTCCAGGACGGGCTCATGGGACCGTCTGGGAGCACGTTGGAAGTTTGGATTCCGAACCACGCCCCCCAGACCTCTGGATAAGGCATGCGGGCATCCCAAATTCGCGCGGAATCGCAGAGGAATTTTGGAGATCAGGGGTCTGGGGGGGTCAGAGGTTATTTTTAGCATTCAATATCCAGGACTCGCAGGGACCTGCGGACACTCCACTTAGTGCCCGCAGCACGGTGGCAGGTACGGTACAGAACGCACCCCCCCAAAGGGTATACCCCCCAATATCAAGCGGCAACCGTAGAATTTGGCAATCAGGAGGGGCAACTGTCTTCGAGACGAGGAAGAACCCCTGAGTGCAAGCATCGGTGAAAGTGCATGTGCTCATCAGGGCCCATCGCAGCAACGGCAAGACAACGCAAAGGAGCGTCCGCTCTAATGTCCTGCCCGCCCCCACCCACCGGTTAGGGTCCCGCCCGCCCGACTCGCTCGTTAGGGTCCCGCTCGCCCGACCCGCCCGTTAGGGTCCCGCCCGCCCGATACGCCCGACGGGAAGTGCAGAGACAGAGGAACACGCACAGGAAGGTGAGAAGGAAGGGGAAGGGAGAGGATGGGGACGGAGAGAAGGAGGACGGCATGTCAGAGCGAGCGCATCACAAGCATACTGCTGGCGCATCTTGGTAACAGGACGATGGGGCAGTTGCACGTCAATAGTACAGTACCGAGGATCACGCCAAAATTACCCTGCGACGTACCGAACCCACGTGCATCAAATGGCAAGAGGAGTATGCCAACATTAGCAGGAACAACGACAGTGTAGACGCGGCGATTTGCTGTGCAAGCTACATGGGATGCGCATGCGTTGCACGATTCACAGGACGACGATCGAAATAACGAGGCTTGAGGCCCCAGGATCGAAGAAGAACGGGTACGGGAACGAGGGGTAGGAGAGGGATGGAATGGAGGGCGGGGGGGGCGAAAGGCCATCGCGGAAGCAGCAGCATGCATGGAGAAGGTGAGGCGGGGAATAGGACGACGATGAAAGTGGCGGGAGGAGACAGAAGACTGCCGCGTTTTTCAAGTGCGAGCTAAACCCGCAGCGCTGCCTGCGCCATGTCGTCGCAGAGTTCCACATGATAAAACTTGTTTAGAGTGCAAGGAACGAGCGAGGCGTAGCTCGCCCGCTAGCTTCTCCGCCTCCTTCCCGCACATTTCAGCGCGGGAGCTGAACGCTCGCAGGCGCGCCGCCAGGTCTGCGGGCGGCCCGCGGGAAAGAAACTCAAGGCCGGGGTCGCGTATCATCAATCGGTTGTCCATCGTCCAAAGTTGCACTGGCGACGCACTGGTTCAACGCGGTGGAGGGAGCATCATCACGCGCGTGCCTGAAGGCCACGCAGGTACAGTGCACGCGCGATTGGGACTTCAGGTCGATCACGCGCGTCTCCACCAGGCTTAGCAACACCGCGCGACTGAGAATCTCACTGCGGTCTGCCATGCTGCTGTCCGCGAATGCAATGCGCTGCTTGCAAGTAAGGCGGCGGCGTCCACTTGTCTCAGAAGATGTTCCCGCGGGCCCGAAGGGAGACCGCCAGTTCGAGCCGCGGCGCCGGCAGGCCAGATAAGGATCATGCAACAGCAAAGACGATGACAGAGCAACGAGGTATCGGCGAGTGCATGGCCGGCCTCCGTTTCCTGCACTTCTTTCTTATAGTTCCCCTAGCTCATCGAGCTCAGCAGATGTTTCTGCGGGCCCGAAGGGCGACCGCCAGCTCGAGTCGCAGCGCCGACGAGCTGCGTCCACATCAGGCAACACCCCAGGAGACACTGGCACACAACGATTTGACGTCAGTCAGTGCCAGACCACTCCATGTCTAGTTCCTCGCACACGTACAGTCGATCGCAGATGCGGGATAATCGAAGTAGAATGACGGGTCCAATCTGCGTCCGCGTAGGACGTCACTATGCTGGACCCCGCAGCAGGTCTCGAAAGTGGCGACAGTTTCATGGGCCCCACAGCAGCCCTCGAAAGTGGCGACAGTTTCACAGATCGTAGCCCCCCAGCGCTGGCGAGGTCTAATCTGAGTCCCCGTAGGACGTCACTCCGCTGGGCCCCCCAGCAGCCCTCGAAAGTGGCGACAGTTTCACAGATCGCAGCCCCCCAGGGATGGCGAGGTCTAATCTGAATCCCCGTAGGGCGTCACTCCGCTGGGCCCCCCAGCAGCCCTCGAAAGTGGCGACAGTTTCACAGATCGCAGCCCCCCAGGGATGGCGAGGTCTAATCTGAGTCCCCGTAGGGCGTCACTCCGCTGGGCCCCCCAGCATCCCTCGAAAGTGGCGACAGTTTCACAGATCGCAGCCCCCCAGGGATGGCGAGGTCTAATCTGAATCCCCGTAGGGCGTCACTCCGCTGGGCCCCCCAGCAGCCTCGAAAGTGGCGACAGTTTCACAGATCGCCGCCCCCCAGGGATGGCGAGGGGCGAGCTAGGTAAAAGGCAAGCGAGAAGAGGACGAGCAAAGAGAGGAGGAGAAGGGAAGCAAGAGAGGAGAGCAGGAACGAAAAGAGGAGGAGAGGGGGCGGGAGGAGGAGGAGGAAGGTGGAGACCACAGTGCTCTATTCAAAACGAGTACCCAACGCAGGACGGTTGGGAAAAATAATACCAGGGTTCACGGTGTGCGTGTATGGGGGCACTTCTCTAGGCCTCCCAAGTGGGGTCCGAGTAGATGGGGTCGGAGGATCGCTCGGCATCGCCGATGCATCGGCGATCCGGTTCGATGTGGATCCTGTTTTGCTTCACGCCGACGTCGCCGATGCATCGTCGATGCGGCGCGATCCTCCGACCCCATCGACACCGATCATACATCTTAAGAGACAACGAAAATGCTTGACGCTTCGCGTATCCCCACCAGCTTCGTAGCCATTTTGGCTCAAGCCATTTTGGCTCAAGCCATTTTGACCTAAGGTATTTACAGTATGGCTCAAGCCGCGGTGCCGTGTCTTCTCGGATGCTGGGCATCGGCCGAGGGTCTCGAGAAGGCGTTATGTCCCTCGAAGCGTCGATCAAGAACTGCGGTCGGACAAAACAATGGAGCGTAGCACTGCGGTTGCTCCGCGAAGGACTTCGATTAGGTGTGCAACTTGTCCCAGGCCACTACATTGCGATTGCCAGCGCATGCAGAAAAGGCGGGCAATGGCAACACGCGCTTTCAGTGCTCAGTGACATGTGGAAGGCGAAGCTGGAGCCCAACGTCATCTTTTGTACAATGCAGGGGCCCGTGCGTGCGGGAAGGGTCCCTGTCTCGATGGGCTTAAAATGCCCCACAACGGCTCCGGGGACGCCCCAGAGGCGCTCACGCGGCCCCAGAGGCGCCCAGGACGGCCCCAGACACCCCTAAAACGGCCCAAGAGCGCTCCAAGAAAACTCCAGACCGCCGAAAACGGGCCCGACAAGGCCCAGGAGGCCTCCACGACGGCCCCAGAGACGCTCAAGAGGCGTCCCAGGATGGCCCCCACAGGTCCAAATCATTGTTTTTTCCAGCGAAAAACGTCCAATTTTAGCACGCACTGCTTGTCGGGAGTATGGCGCAGAAGATGGGACAAGAGGCCCCCGCGACCGCCCCAAGACGGCCCAAGAGGCCCCCCAGAGGCACGAAAACCGGCCCGCGAGAGCGTCCAGAGACCCAAGAGGCGCCCAACACGGCCCCCAGGCGGCCCCAAGAGGTTCCCAGGAGGCGCCCAGGACGGCCCCAGACACCCCCAAGACGGCCCAAGAGCGCTCCAAGAGAGCCCAAGACCGCCGAAAACACACCCAAGACGGCCCAGGAGGCCTCCACGACGGCCCCAGAGACGCCCAAGAGGCGTCCAAGGATGGCCCCCAGAGGCGAAAATCATTGTTTTCCCGAAGAAAAACGCTCACTTCCAGCATGCGCTGCTTCACGGGAATATGGCGCAGAAGCTGGTTCCAGGTCCCCACGACCGCCCCAAGACGGCCCAAGAGGCCCCCAAGACGCACGAAAACCGGCCCGAGAGGGCGTCAAGAGAGCCCAAGAGGCGCCCACAACGGCCCCAGGGTGACACCAAGAGGCTCCCAGGACGGCCCCAGGTATCCCCAAGACGCTCCAAGAGCGCTCCACGACAAGCCAAGACTGCCTTTTGCGGCGCCAAGACGGCCCAAGACGCCTCTACGACGGCCCAAGAGACGCCGAAGAGGCTTCCCAGGAGGGCCCCAGGAGGGCCCCGAGACGGCCCAAGACGCACCCAAGACAGCCCCAAGAGCAGTTAACAATGGCCCAAGACGGCCCCACCGCCCCGTCTCCAAGACGGCTGTAGATGCCCCCACCGCCCCGTCTCCAAGCCTTTCCGTTTGGACAGTCTCCAAGACGGTCTCTGGGCCGTCAGGGACGGCTCCAGAGGCGCCCGAGACGGCTCAAGAAACACCAAAGACAACCCCAAGAGCGCCCAATATTTGCCCAAGATAGCTCCAAGACTGTCCCAAGATGCCGAGAGGCGCCCAAGACGGCCCCACATCGCCCCAAGACGGCCCAAGACGCACTCAAGATTGCCCAAGAGGGCTTCAAGAGACCCCCAGGAGGACGAAAAGGGCCCCCAAGCGGCCCCCAAGAGGCGTTGGATGCTTCTCTCTTGGGGAGCGTCGAACTTCCAGTATCGTCTTGGGGGCTTCTTGGACCCACTGCGAGCCATCTCTGCGCCATTTGGAAACGTCTTGGGGCGGTGCGCTCGAAAGGTCGATTCGTGTCCTCGCACTGGGACCCGTCTTAGGGAGTTACGTTTTGCCGCCCTCTTGCGGGCCTCCTAGGCCGCGCCCACTGGCCCCGTTGTCACCACACTACCACATGAAATTATCACTCGGCCCCGGCGAAGAGCAGATAACTTCTCACGGCTGCCCTCCCCGCAGAAGCTATGATGAACACAGACTGCGGCGTCAGAAACAGCTGTCATGCCTACATGGGTGCGCTTCCATTGGCACCGCCTCCACCACCGCGTTCCTGCCTTCAGGCCTGCTTGCCTGCATCCCTCGCCCACCCCCTCCAGCGGCCACCTCCTCCATCCACACCGTCCCCTCCAACCTCCCCTTACCCGCGAGGCCCCAGAGACGCTCGTCTTCCACGTCCAAGCCATGGCGGGCAGATTCCGCGGCCGGAAGGCCGTGGGTTAGCCCTAGTCAGCTACAATGCTGGGATCAGCGCGTGCGAGAAGGGCGAACAATGGCAGCGGGCCCTGGCGCTGTTGAGCGAGATGTGGGAGGCGAAACTGGAGCTAGACGTCATCAGCTATAGTGCTGGGATCAGCGCGTGCGCGAAGGGCGAGCAGTGGCAGCGGGCCCTGGCGCTGCTGAGTCAGATGTGGGAGGCGAAGCTGGAGCCCAACGTCATCAGCTATAGTGCTTCGATCAGCGCGTGCGAGAAGGGCGAGCAATGGCAGCGGGCCCTGGCGCTGCTGAGCGAGATGTGGGAGGCGAAGCTGGAGCCCAACGTCATCAGCTATAGTGCTGGGATCAGCGCGTGCGAGAAGGGCGAGCAATGGCAGCGGGCCCTGGCGCTGCTGAGCGAGATGCGGGAGGCGAAGCTGGAGCCCAACGTCATCAGCTATAATGCTGGGATCAGCGCGTGCGCGAAGGGCGAGCAGTGGCAGCGGGCCCTGGCGCTGCTGAGCGAGATGCGGGAGGCGAAGCTGGAGCCCAACGTCATCAGCTATAATGCTGGGATCAGCGCGTGCGAGAAGGGCGAGCAGTGGCAGCGGGCCCTGGCGCTGCTGAGCGAGATGTGGGAGGCGAAACTGGAGCTAACGTCATCAGCTATAATGCTGGGATCAGCGCGTGCGAGAAGCTGGGCGTCATCAGCATGCTGGGGTCAGCGCGTGCAGGGCGGCAGCGGGCCTGGCGCTGCTGAGCGAGATGTGGGAGGCGAAGCTGGAGCCCAACGTCATCAGCTAATGCTGGGATCAGCGCGTGCGAGAAGGGCGAGCACTGGCAGCGGGCCCTGGCGCTGTGAGCGAGATGTGGGAGGCGAAGGAGCCCGTCATCAGCTATAGTGCTGGGATCAGCGCGTGCGAGAAGGGCGAGCAATGGCAGCGGGCCCTGGCGCTGCTGAGCGAGATGCGGGAGGCGAAGCTGGAGCCCAACGTCATCAGCTATAATGCTGGGGTCAGTGCGTGCGAGAAGGGCGAGCACTGGCAGCGGGCCCTGGCGCTGCTGAGCGAGATGTGGGAGGCGAAGCTGGAGCCCAACGTCATCTTTTGTACAATGCAGGGACCCGTGCGTGCGGGGTGGGTCCCTGTCTCGATGGGCTTAAAATGCCCCACAACGGCTCCGGGGACGCCCCAGAGGCGCTCACGCGGCCCCAGAGGCGCCCAGGACGGCCCCAGACACCCCTAAAACGGCCCAAGAGCGCTCCGGACCGCCGAAAACGGCCCCGACAAGGCCAGGAGGCCTTCACGACGGCCCCAGAGACGCTCAAGAGGCGTCCCAGGATGGCCCCCACAGGTCCAAATCATGGTTTTTCCAACGAAAAACGTCCAATCTTAGCACGCACTGCTTGTCGGGAGTATGGCGCAGAAGATGGGACAAGAGGCCCCCGCGACCGCCCCAAGACGGCCCAAGAGGCGCCCCAGAGGCACGAAAATCGGCCCGCGAGAGCGTCCAGAGACCCAAGAGGCACCCAAAACGGCCCCCAGGCGGCCCCAAGAGGTTCCCAGGAGGCGCCCAGGACGGCCCCAGACACCCCCAAAACGGCCCAAGAACGCTCCAAGAGAGCCCAAGACCGCCGAAAACACACCCAAGACGGCCCAGGAGGCCTCCACGACGGCCCCAGAGACGCCCAAGAGGCGTCCAAGGATGACCCCCAGAGGCGAAAATCATTGTTTTCCAGAAGAAAGCGCTCACTTCCAGCATGCGCTGCTTCACGGGAATATGGCGCAGAAGCTGGTTCCATGTCCCCACGATCGCCCCAAGACGGCCCAAGAGGCCCCCAAAACGCACGAAAACCGGCCCGAGAGGGCGTCAAGGGAGCCCAAGAGGCGCCCACAACGGCCCCAGGGTGACACCAAGAGGCTCCCAGGACGGCCCCAGGTATCCCCAAGACGCTCCAAGAGCGCTCCACGACAAGCCAAGACTGCCTTTTGCGGCGCCAAGACGGCCCAAGACGCCTCTACGACGGCCCAAGAGACGCCGAAGAGGCTTCCCAGGAGGGCCCCAGGGCCCCGAGACGGCCCAAGACGCACCCAAGCCAGCCCCAAGAGCAGTGAACAATGGCCCAAGACGGCCCCACCGCCCCGTCTCCAAGACGGCTGTAGATGCCCCCACCGCCCCGTCTCCAAGCCTTTCCGTTTGGACAGTCTCCAAGACGGTCTCTGGGCCGTCAGGGACGGCTCCAGAGGCGCCCGAGACGGCTCAAGAAACACCAAAGACAACCCCAAGAGCGCCCAATATTTGCCCAAGATAGCTCCAAGACTGTCCCAAGATGCCGAGAGGCGCCCAAGACGGCCCCACATCGCCCCAAGACGGCCCAAGACGCACTCAAGATTGCCCAAGAGGGCTTCAAGAGACCCCCAGGAGGACGAAAAGGGCCCCCAAGCGGCCCCCAAGAGGCGTTGGATGCTTCTCTCTTGGGGAGCGTCGAACTTCCAGTATCGTCTTGGGGGCTTCTTGGACCCACTGCGAGCCATCTCTGCGCCATTTGGAAACGTCTTGGGGCGGTGCGCTCGAAAGGTCGATTCGTGTCCTCGCACTGGGGCCCGTCTTAGGGAGTTACGTTTCGCCGCCCTCTTGCGGGCCTCCTAGGCCGCGCCCACTGGCCCCATTGTCACCACACTACCACATCAAATTATCATTCGGCCCCGGCGAAGAGCAGATAACTTCTCACGGCTGCCCTCCCCGCAGAAGCTATGATGAACACAGACTGCGGCGTCAGAAACAGCTGTCATGCCTACATGGGTGCGCTTCCATTGGCACCGCCTCCACCACCGCGTTCCTGCCTTCAGGCCTGCTTGCCTGCATCCCTCGCCCACCTCCCCCTCCAGCGGCCACCTCCTCCATCCACACCGTCCCCTCCAACCTCCCCTTACCCGCGAGGCCCCAGAGACGCTCCACTTCCACGTCCAAGCCATGGCGGGCAGATTCCGCGGCCGGAAGGCCGCGGGTCAGCCCTAGTCAGCTATAATGCTGGGGTCAGCGCGTGCGAGAAGGGCGAGCAGTGGCAGCGGGCGTTGGCGCTGCTGAGCGAGATGTGGGAGGCGAAGCTGGAGCTAAACGTCATCAGCTATAATGCTGGGATCAGCGCGTGCGAGAAGGGCGAGCAATGGCAGCGGGCCCTGGCGCTGCTGAGCGAGATGTGGGAGGCGAAGCTGGAGCCAGACGTCATCTATACTACAATGCAGGGCCCCGCGCGTGCGAGAAGTGCGATTCTGGTCAAATGGCGTAGCAGGCCCAAGACACGCCAAGAGGGCCCCAAGAGGCCCCCAAGACGGCCCCAGAGGGCCCTGGGACGCTCCAAGATGAGCCCAGGACGCGCCAAGAGGGCCTCAAGAGGCCCCCAAGAAGGCCCCAGAAGGCTCCGGGACGCCCCAAGATGGGCCCAAGACGCCGAAGATTGGGCCAAGACGGCCCCAGAGGCGGCCAAAAGGCCCCAATACGCCTCCCACGAGGCTTCCCAGCAGGGCCCCGAGCGGGAGAAATCGTCGATTTCGATTGTGTTTTTCGATGTTTTCCGCATTCTCCCCTTTTCGCCGTCCCTGCGCTCCAAGACGGCCCAAGAGGTCCCCAAGACCGCTCCAAGACCACCGACGAGGCCCGCAAGAGGGCCTCAAGACGGGCCGGCAGTGGCAGCGGGCTTTGGCGCTGATGAGCGAGATGTGGGAGGCGCAGCTGGAACCCAAGGTCATCCTTCTACAGTTCAGCGCCTCCTGCGTGTCATTTTTCCAGCCTCCTCTGGGTACCAAGAGCCAGAATAAATGACCTGACCGCTCCAAGACGTCCCAGGAGGGTCTCAAGACGGTCCAAGATGGCCCTGGACGCCTCCAGGCGGTCCACGGGGTCGCTAACATGGTTTTCAGACGGCTCAACAGGGTCCCAGATATCTCCAAGAGGCCCCGCAGCCGAGAAGGCCCCGAGAGGCCAAAATCGTCAATTCTAGACGCTTCGCGTAACCCCACCACTTTGGCGCCCTTCCACTCGTTGGATCTGGGCTGACGCATCTCAGTTGTGGAAGGTTCTCCTGTCACGCTCCACACCCTGGATGCGCGTTCTGGCGTCGCGACTTCGTGTCTCCGCCAGAATGTTCCGCTGGACTTATGTCCCCAGTCAGTCTGTGGTACCCGTCAGACTCCCTGGAGCGATGTCCTCGGGAACGTTCCTTTCTGTTCGCATCTGGACTTCTGGGAACGCCTCACGCGCCATTTTGGCTGCGCTGGGTCTCCTCGGTGCCTGTCCTCAGGCTCGTTGGATGCACCGTTGCATGCCCGTCCTGGGGCTGTCTCAGCCTCCCTGGATTGCACGTCGGCTGCCGCCCTGGGCGCTGCCTCCCTCGCCGCCTGATCCGCGGCCCCCGCGCGCGCTTGGCAGTTTAGTCGCGGCCGTAGCCCGCCCGCGACCTCCCGCCGCTGGCGCTTCCGCCTGCGGCTGTAAAAAATTATCCCGGCAAAGCAACCTAACAGCGATGTGTAGGAGCATATCTGGAAGCATTCCCCTTAAGATTCAGATGAGAATCCAGTTGTAGAATTCTGCTGTTCTCGCAGTCGTAGTCGCATTCGCGATGACAGTCGCAGTGGCAACGGCAGTCGCAGTCACAGCCTCAGCCTCAGCCTGCCTCAGCCTCAGCCTCAGCCTGCCTCAGCCTCAGCCTGCCTCAGCCTCAGCCTCAGCCTGCTTCAGCCTCAGCCTCAGTCTGCCTTCGGCCTCGGCCTCAGCCTCAGCCTGCCTCAGCCTCAGCCTGCATCAGCCTCAGCCTCAGCCTCAGCCTGCCTCAGCATCAGCCTGCCTCAGCCTCAGCCTCAGCCTCAGCCTGCCTCTGCCTCAGCCTCAGCCTGCTTCAGCCTCAGCCTCAGTCTGCCGTCGGCCTCGGCCTCAGCCTCAGCCTGCCTCAGCCTCAGCCTGCATCAGCCTCAGCCTCAGCACGAAGCGACCCAGCTAGAAGGACAAAGCGCTGAATGTACACCGATGTGTTCGACGACTGCGTATGTAATGATGTGACGATATACAGACTGAGCCCTTCGTGAATGTCTACATGTTTTTCTGACGCCTACAAACGGCGCTGACGTGTGTGAGAAAATTGTCCGCGCAGCAAAAGCCGGCGAAGCGTGCGGGAGCTCGCATGCTGAGACAGACTACGTCTGCAGACCGCCAGCTGCAAAAGGTTGCGAGCGGCTCTTGGAAGATGTTTACGGAACGGAGCTACGGTGTCTGAAAACATTGGCATCGAAGCGAAGAGCCTCGGAGCCCTGCAACCTGAGAAACACCGCAGGAACTCGCATACTGAAAAGGAATGCATTGCAAACCGCACGCTGCGAACCCTGCAGGCTGAGAAGCACCGCAGGATGTCGCATGCTGAAAAGCACTTGTACTGCAGAGCGCTAGCACTCCATCTCGGGCTCGGACCCCCCCGTCCTGATCCAGAACGTGTCCGGCCACGGCCTGAAAATGCCGTTCCAACTCCCGAGGATCAGCTGGCACTCCGGCTCTGGGACACTCCAGTACGTCTTGAGCACCTTGAGCCAGGCCCCATCTCGGGATCCCCACAGCACGCTGTACTTGACCGAGACCGTGCCGAACTCATAACAATTGACCTCCGAAGGACCTGCGAGTGCAGGCTGAGAAACACCACGCGATTGCAGGGCACGGCATTGCGTGTCACATGAGTGCAGGCTGAGAAGCACCACATCTCGTTTGCCAGAGATCACTCCCAGGTTATTTGATCCCGCAACGCCAGCCACGGCGTAGCTGCCACAGGGGCCGCAGATAGCAACGGTTCGGTCACCCAATTGGCGTTCCGGTGAGTCACAATTCGCGTGTGGCTCCACGAGCCTGTGTAGCGCGATTTGCGGGGCACCAGTGTGCTGTAGGTGTTGTTGCCGTAGCAGAAGACGGCCTCTGGAGCCCAGTGCGGATTCCAGCGGACAGCGTAGACCCTGTGGACGC